TATGGAGTTTGTTTCCTCCTGTGTGGTTCAGCGTGGCTCTGCATGCCCTGTTATCCACTGGGCCATGGGTGACCCACACCTACACAAGGAATTATATTACAACAGAGGAGGAACATGGAAGCTGCTCGCCGGGTTTCTTAAGGACAGGCCAGAGTTAGTTGTGTGTTTGTGACAAGCCCCAGGAGCTCAATCAATCAATCAATCAATCAACCAGAATAGAACTGGAAGGGACCTTGGAGGTCTTCTAGTTCAGCCTCCTGCTCAAGCAGGAGACCCTCAACCACTTCAGATAAGGGACTGTCTAGACTCTTCTTAAAAACCTCCAGTGATGGAGTACCCACAACCTCTGGTGGCAAGCGGTTCCACTGGTTAAGCTGATAGCACCGTATGTGTGTGCTGCTGGTTATGGAGGTGTGGCTTAGATGGGGCGGAGGACGCATCAATTGGAGGACCATCAGGCCTGGGCTTCCAGGAGGCTGGAGAAGATCCATCATGTGGGTGGAGAGGGAGGGCTCCGTGTCAAGATTCCGGGTGTTGCCTGCACCCGGAGCAGTTGCACAGCTGTGGGGAAGATGACAGATCCACAGTCATCCAGCCACAGCTACCAGGGATGTGTGACCAAGAAAGATGGATCATGGCAAGAGAGGAGAGAGCTTGAGGTTGGTCTGGAGGTTGGTGTGGAGAGGAGCCCCCTGGCCCTCTCTGTGGAGTGAGACTCCCTGCAGCCTACTGGGACTCATGGAGAAGGGGGGGAGGCCCCCAAATGATTGGTCCATTGAGAGCAAGGTCCCAATTGAGGTGGAGGGTTTGTAGGGGGTGGGCTGGAGCTTCTCAGCTGTGGTGGGAAGAGGAGGTGGGCTGTGTGATGAGCCATTCATGCAGAGGGCCTCTCTTTGGCCTTTGGTTCGAGTTCCCTCTTCCACAACCCCCTAGGGACTCCGCCTGATCACTGGAAGCCGTGCGGTCGAGCTGAGAAAAATCTCTCTTCCTGTCCGATCCATACCTGCAGGGAGGAGGGGCTGGCTTTGGGGTTTTCTCCAGCTCTTGGGGGGGGAGAAGGGGCTTGGCTGCCCCCCAAACAGAAGCCAGGGCAACCAGAGTGCTTTGCAAACCAGGCCCGCCTTATTCAGGGTTACCCACCTTGGGTTGAGCAGAGGCGCTTTTGCTGGGCCTTCGTGGTTCAGAAAACGGGCTCCTCCTATAGCCAGGGGAGAGCCGGAGGGTCTCCGGGGGTCTCCAGCCCATTCGTAAGCCAGGCGGGCCAGAACAAGGGATTGGACTCATCAAATGGACACCTGGACTATAAGAGCCTCATCCGAGGCGGCCGGAGTCGTTCCCTGGCACTCAAGTGGCCACTCGCCCTGGGCGGTCGGGAAAGGCGGACGTCTTGCGCTTCAGACACTCCTCTAGCGGAAGAAAGGGGCTCAGGGACTCTGGCTGGGGGGTGGAGAGGCTTTTTCTCCCTCCCACCCCCCCCACCCCCAAGGCAAATTCAGATGTCACATGATCCGGGTATGGGGTGTTACTGTGTGTGTATGTATGTACCAGTAGGGGAAGCGTGTCCTTGCCCATCACAGGATGCCTCAAGCCAGTATGGGCTCCTCCCCCCTCCCCTGTGAAGGGGAGGGGGGTCTAGAGAGCAAACGCTGCCCCCCCCCAGGCTCGAGCCCCTCCCTGGCCTTCTAGCCACAGCTTCTGCTGGGAGAGGCTCCCTGCTGCTGCTGCAGGGCTGGTGGGCGTCTGCCAGGGTCCCTCGAAAAGCCCCTCTCTGTTCCTGCCCACAGAACAACTTCCCCGCCAGCAGCCGGGAGCGTCTGCAGGACCTCAAGTCCACCGTGGACCTTCTGACCAGCATCACCTTCTTCCGAATGAAGGTAGGACCCTCCGCTCAGGTTCTTGGGGACCCAGATCTTTGGGGTGCCGCCTCCCCAAATGATGGCTCCCTCAGGGGACTCTGTAAGCTGGGGGGGAGGGGGATTTCCTGAAAAACTGAGGCCAAACACCTGGGCAGGTGGTGCCCCCTGCTGGCAGAGTGAAGGCACTACATGGGTTTCCCTGTGGGAGGCCTCCCTGCCACTTTCTTCCTGCAGCTGGTTTGCCCATCAGCAGCTCCTCTCACCCCAGCCTGGAAGGGCAGAGCCAGGACCTGAAAGGGAGCAGGAAAAGGGGGAGCCCCCAGCTCTCTGTGCGCCCCCCACCCACCCCTTTTCAAAGTGGAGAGGCTGCCCTGTCCATAGGCGAAGGGCTCCCCTGTTGCTCCCCTCCCGCTGAAGCAGCCTCGATTTCAATTCTGGGTGCTTTTTGGAGGGCAGGAGATGGTGTTCTTTCTTGGCCCCCCCTCCTCCTGCTCCTGCACTTTGGGACGGGGGGGGGTGCTTGCTCCAATGAATCCAGGGCCCCTCCTTTTCTATTTTGATAAATGTGTTTTTATTTTTTTTTCTATTTTCATTTTCGTACAGTCACATATATACTGTGCAGAACCGGGGCCATATAACATTAAACCAGTGTTTCTCAACCNGGGGGGGGAGAGTCGAGGAAAGCCAGCAGAACCTGGTGTGGAGAAGGGAGGGGGGCGCTCGAAAAGGATCCCCCTTGCAGGGCAGATCAGGAGGGAGGGAAGTGGTCCTAGCCGTAAAGAGCATGACTGAGAGGAGGGTGGAGGTGGGCCATCCCTGCTTTTGCCTGGGCCCAGGGAGGAGAAGGTTTGGCTCCCAGGCTCTGGCCTTCCTCTTCCCACCACTGGGACCACCTGGAAGGGGAAGAGAAGGGGCCCAAGTGCCACTTTCTTGCTTCTGCACCCTGTCCAAGAGGGGTTAGAATTGGACTGAGGGGGGGCTCTGTACGGGAGGGCCTGGGGGGGGGCTCACTCCAGAGTTTTCTTTCATCAGCCACAGCCGCATTGGTCAGGGTTGCCGCCTACAGTGGTAGGTGGGGGGGGGGAGCTCCAGTGGCTTGGAGGGGAAGGGTTGTGGGCAGGGGGGACCAGGGAGCCGTGGGGAGAAGAGGGCCCCGGGGTGGCTGCTTCCTGCCCTCTGGCGTCCCCTGCCTGACCCCCCCTTGCCTCTGCTCCCCCTCTCCCCCCCCCCAGGCATTTTGCGTGTCTTTCATCCAAGTACATGTGTCCCGGAGTGCCTGCTGTCATGAGCACCTTGCTGGCCAACATCAATGCCTACTATGCCCACACCACGGCCTCCACCCAGGTCTCCGCCTCCGACCGCTTCTCGGCCTCAAACTTTGGGGTGAGTGCCCCCACCATTCAGCCTCCGCTGGGGCCTCTTTCTGCGGACAGAGGGACCCCTGACTGCTCGGACGACGGCGCTGCGGTGCTGCTGGGGGTCCAGTGGGGGGGGGCCTTTCCAAGAAGGCAGCTCCATGGCTCTTGGGAGGCTTGAACATCTGGGAGAGCCTGAGGGGGGTGGAGCAGAAAAGGAAGCCCCAGGCCCCCCTTGAGGCTGGGAGACAGAAAATGCCTCAGGGACCCTCTGGGGCTGCCCCACACTTTTCGGAGGTTGGGCTTGGCAAGACGGCCCACTGGGGGGGCAGCTGCTCCACAGGGAAGACTCGGCCTTTCAGCCTGACTTGAATCCCCCCTCAGACTGGCCAATACTTTCATCTGATTGGTCACCAACACACACACCCAATGCCTTTCCTTGGGGGGGGGGACCCATTTTCGGACCCTCCCGAGAAATAGCCCAAGAACGTCCTCTTGACGCCTGCTCTCTTTCCTCCTTTTTCCTGACAGAAGGAGAGGTTCGTGAAATTGCTGGACCAGCTGCACAATTCCCTCCGGATTGACCTCTCCATGTACAGGGTAGGGGTCCCACATGGCAACCCCCCCACCCCACCCACCCAACCGCCCCGGGGTCTGGGCAAGGCCTGTCTTGACTTCAGGGCCCGCCCAGAGGCCTCTCTGGCGGTGAGGGGCCACGATCCACAGACCCCCCCAGCCTCCCAGGGCACCACTGGCCAGCCCCCAGCCCCAAATGGCCCCTGCTCCCCGTTTCCCTGAAGGTTGGTTGCAATGGAGGTTGCAGCTTCCTTTGATCTGGGGCAGGCGGAACATTTACCTGCGTTATGGAAACGATTCAGGACACCTGACAGGTCCAGAGGATCCAGGCATCGAGGGGAGACTGACCCAAAGCCATTCCTACTGGATTTGCCAGCTCCACACAAGCAGCCTCTCATTTTGTTTCTCCATAGCTTGGGAGAAGTGTGTGTGTGCGCGTGCGTGCATGTGTGTGCGTTCTTGATGACCTGTGGGAAGAGAAAGAAGGAAGGCTTAGCCAATTTGCGGATGACCTAGAAGACAGAAACTGTGAAATTAGCTGCAGGGACAGCTGTGAGATTCCCCAGAGACGAGCGCTAACCTCTGGCCTCGGGGGAGGAGAGCAGCTGTCAGAGAAGAGGGGTTGCCGGGGCGAGGGAGGGTTGCCGCGAGGAAGACCCTGTGTCCGGAGTTGCCTGCAAAAGTTGGACGTGGGATGTGTGGACAAGCGCGAAACGCAGCGGGACGAGGCTGCAAATCGGGGAGAGCCACGGAAGGGGGTTCTCCCCACCCTGGGCAGGAATCACCCCACTTTCTAATTTCTAATCTACTGCTCAGGGAAGTTCTGCCTATATATGGTCAAATCCTGGTCAGGATGTTTTGTTATGAGCTATCAGGATGTTAGGATGTTATGGAGTTTGTTTCCTCCTGTGTGGTTCAGCGTGGCTCTGCATGCCCTGTTAT